ACCTCTGGTGTATAGCAATATGGAGCAGTATATAAGTCTAAATCAGTGGTTCTCAACCTGTGGGTCGGGACCCCATTTGGGGTCGAACGACCATTTCACGGGGGTCGCCAAACAAGGCTGTCCGCCATTTTTTCCTCCTTTTCTTTGGCCACGCCCCTGGCACCCGGTGATGTATAAGTGGTTGGGGGTCACCACAACATGGGGAACTGTATTATGGGGTCGCGGCATTAGAAAGGTTGAGAACCACTGGTCTAAATGCTATTGCTATTGAAGTGCCTATCTGGTGATCTAACAGCTCCTCCTTCCCCTTCACTTGATTACCTTGAGGTAGACTTTTTACACTACCTTTAGGACTTGTATGAGGATGAAAAACAAGTCATTTACTTCCTGCTGGAATGGCTGAGACTAAAAACTATAGTCATGTGAAGGTGATGAGTGACATGGCCCTAAATCTCAGCCATTCAATATTATTCCATATCAAATCAGAACTACATATCTAGAATGAAGTTGCACTGGATGTCATATTGTGAAAACAGATAAGATAAAATGAGAGGGTCAGTTTGGTCTAGTGGTTAAGGCACCAGGGTAGAAAGTGGAAAGCAGGTATAGAGCAGTTGCAGGAACTGAATACATCTAGTCTAAGGAAAAGAAGAATTAGGGGTGACATAATAGCAGTCTTCCAATATCTAAGGGGCTAACACCAAGAAGAGGGAGTCAACCTATTCTCTAAAGCACCTGAAAGCAGGACACAAAGCAATGGATGGAAACTAATCAAGAAGAGACCAAATTAGAAATAAGAAATTTCCTGGCAGAACAATTAAACAATGGAATGGCTTGCTTTCAGAAATTGTGGTTGCTCCATCACTGGAGGTTTTTAAGAAGAGATACTGGATAGCCATTTTTCTGAAATAATACACGGCCTCCTGCTTGAATAGGGTTGGATTAGAACAGGGCTTTTCAGCCTGTGGTGCACATATCACTGGTGGTACATTGGGACCTGGCAGGTGGTATGCATACGACGGGTTGAAAAGCACTGTAGAAAGAAAACAGGTTTTAAAAAAGTGTAAAAGTGTATTGTAGGGATGAGCTGAAGCAGCGGCAACACAGGATAGACCTGTGGGAGAGTCAGCTGGAGCTGCAGTGTTGCTGGGGCTCTGCTGAGCACCCAGGATCTGTGCTGGGCTCCAGCTGATTGGTGCTTCTGGAAGCAGCACGCAGCCTGGGGAAAGTCAGTTGCAGCTATAACCAAGACAAACGGAGGAAGAAGGGGAGAGAGGAGAGGATAGAAAATAGAATGCCCATGGGATGTGTATACAGTAGTGGCAAAAATTGTGAAAACCTTTTGGGAAAAGTGTATTTTTGAGGTTTGATGGCTAATCACACTACTTTTTTTGGGAGTAGTACCATAAAATTATATATCAGTGGAAAGATAATTTAATCAAGAATGTAATGCAACAAAGTTTGTTCAATTAACTGTACTATATTCTATGAAAAGTTATAACCAAATAACCAGAAAAAGGAAGCATAACGTGCTTAGGTTGATATCAGGTAGCTTTCCTTTATCTTATTGTAGCCAATGAGCATGAGTGTTTAGAGAGCCAATCAGGTGTCATCTTGTTTTGGCAATGAGCCAATCAGATCACAGTAGGATTCAGTTATTGATGTCATGTATTAAAGCTGAGAGGAGGACATTTGTCAGTGTGTTATGTGATTGCTGTTAAGTTGGTTGGTTTTTTTTGTGTTCTTTCATTTAGTGAGCTTGTAAAACGTAATAAAATTAAAGCAAAGGTGCAAAGAGTTGACTGGTTGCCCAGAAAGCAATGTAAAATAGTATTATTAAGTGAACAAGATTACAGTTATAAAGAAATTAGAAGAAAAATTGGTGGAAACTTAACCAAAGGTGGCATTTCTACTGTACACTTTTCCCAAAAGATTTCATAATTTTGACCATTACTGTATTTGGTCTGGGGCTGCCCTGGAGACAGCAAGGGGCTGGCCCCTGCTGCCTAGGGCCCAATCCAACCCAGCCCGCAATGAAAGGAAAAACCTGAATCCAGCGGGCCAGAAGGCAGCCCAGCCACCGTACCTCTCCAGTTCCTTCTCCTCAGCCCCTGGGCCCAGATGCAGTCACTACTACTCACCATAGCTGGGGCTGAAGTTGCAATTACGTCCGTCCTCTTCATCCTGCAAAGCGGCACTCACCCAGCGCTCTCACCCATCACTATGCCGGCAGGCTCATTGGGATCAGGAAGGCTCTGAAGGAGGTAACTGCGGGTTAGCCAGTGTGACTTGTTCCATTCTGACCCAGCTATCTTGAGTCAGCTATGTCCAATGAGTGGCATCAAGCAGGCCATGCCCACCTGCTAGGCAACTGGTGGTACTCGAATATTGCCATATCCTAAAAGTAGTACAATCTCTGAAAAGTTTGAAAAGCAGCGAATTAGAAGACCTCCAAAGTTCTTTTCCACTCTTACATTGTTATGAGTTCAAGTCCTGCCTTAGCCATAAAAAACAGCTGGGTGACTTTGAGCCAGTCTCTCTCTTTCAGCCCAATCTACCTCACAGGATTGTTGTTGGGAAAATAGGAGGAAGGTGTGTTGGATAGAGTAGCCAGGGGCATGAAACTCGCAATGTCACGTGACGTGTCGTGACATATCACAAGTTTTTTTCCATTGCCGGGAATAGGGTGGGCGTAGTTTTGGCATAACACATCTGACCCATGGGCTGGCAGTTTGACACCCTGGATTAGCCACTTTGAGTTATTTGTAAAAAGGCAGGAAGGGAAATGGAGATATTTGGAACAACTAAACCTGCCAAGCAGAAAATAACTTCAGAGGTAGCCTTGATCCTGAATTTCTAAAAACCAGAGAACCTTTCATTCAGATTAAATATTCAACATGGGTATAGCACTTTTCATTCGGATTGTGGTAACATTGTGGTCATTTGTTAAGAACTTAGTAACAAAAAGCATTCTAGTTTGTTTTTTGTGAACCATATTACACATATCTGACATTGATGACATTGATTTCCCATTCATTTCAGATCCAACTCCAGCTCCTGAGATGTACCTTTAAAATCTGAGCAATATTAGTAAAACCAAAATCTTTATTCGTACAGGTTTCTTGATAATGTTATTAATACAAATTTTACTTTGGGGCTTGATTATCAATTTGACATATTGCTTGGTCTTGTATTAATTATGTGATGTTGCAGACAGCTGGACAAATTCAAGGAAGGAAGGACTATGCAAATTTCAGTAAGGTCTACTGTATTTAATATTAGTCTGTGTTAAATATATAGAACCTTGGAAATGGTGAATTTCTTTTGAATTGAAGTACTTCTTTCTTGTTTTTTAGTTGCCATTTATGAAATAAGCTGTCAATTGACTGGGTGCAGGGAAAGGAAGGATGTGTGTAGAAAAAAAAATGGTTGCCACATCTCTGTGTTTGAACATCTCCTTTGATTGTGTGGCTATGTGACTTTTTTGACTATCCCCTGTGGACGTTCCTGATTGCTCATGTCTATTCTTCCTTCACTCTTTTATCAGCCTCCCCACAATCTCTCACAAATTATTTATTTTATTCCTTGTATTAATTCTCTCACACTCAGTAGTTGTAATCTGCCTCCCTCAAGATGGAAAAGTAGGTTATAAGAAAAAGATAAAATCAGCTTCTCTTAAGAAGAAAAGATGACATTCTTCAAACAGCAAGCTAGCCCATGATTTACTAAAATATTTCTCTTCATACAAATCATTGAAGTTCCTTTGTCATATGACACTGGGTAAAAACCTCTATTGGGTCATAAGTAAAAATGAACTAAATGAAGACTCTGCCCAACATGGAAAAGCAGGACACTGAATTTGTTAGGCCAGCACCCCTCAACCTTTTGGGCACCAGGGACTGGTTCCATGGATAGAGGTTCTTCCGTAGACTGGAGAGAGTGTGATTTTGCATGCTGCCTGCATCCCATGGATGGGGCTTTGCTTGTTTGTGTGGACTGGTTTCTGGTTTCCACAGACTGGGGGTTGGGGTTCAAATACCTGAACAAGCAGTTCTCTGCATGAATGCAGCTTCTGGAAGTCCATTCTGGGCCCCGAAGGCTCAGAACGGACTTCCGGAAATGGCATCCATGCACTTCTGGTGGCCATTCTGGGCCTTGGAGGCCTCCCTCAGTCCTCCAAGATTCAGAATGGACTTCTGGAAGTGGTGTCCATGCACTTCTGGTGGTCCATTTTGGGCCTTGCAAAAATGGGCTAGGACTTCAGCCGGTTTGCCAAAGTCAACAAAAAATTAGCTACTGGTTCTGCTGAACTGGTGCGAACCAGCTGAATCCCACCACTTGTTGGGAACCCCTGTGTTAGGTCTTTTGTGTGATCCTATGGAGGGTGTTACAATTTATAATTGATGTTTATTAAACATCAAACCAGGTTAACCCTTATTCCACTTTCTGGCTTCCTTGAACAAAGATTTTCTGTGTCACAGAATTCTAGTTCATAATAAAGTTCTTGTGGTGAGGAACAGATAGTGTCACAAAGTTCTTTCTGGTTCACTACTGAGGCTGATCTCTTGTATTTTATTCATGACTTGGATGTTCTTTTATCAAATTTGCAGATGACCCAAAAATGACTAGAATAGCAAATGCAGCAAGAAACTAACAAATTCAAAATGATTTAAAACTGATAAAGGAAATTTAGGTTGCATCAACAAATATAGTTTACAAATGACAAGAAATAATACTTCCAGTTTATTTTATGCTAATCACTACTTCTGAATAGCACACTGTGATCACTACTTTTGAATACCACACTGAAATTCAGAGAAACTGAAAAGTCAAAGGAAGAAATTATGATCAGGGAAAGATGATACTGTATTGGAGGATTAAAAAAGCAGTTTCAGGCCAATAGTGTGTTTGTGTGTATTGTGAGCTGTTAAAGCTACTGTTTACTGATATTTAAGGAAGTGTGGAGGTGACAAAATTCAAAATAGCCTGAATACCACTGTCAGGTTTTTTATAATATGTATTATGATTGCCATAATGTGCCAGGCCATCATACATCATGTATATTGATCTTCCTCTATCTGCCTATCTTCCTACCTCACCTTATTTATCCAAGTCTCCAGCCTTTCATCTATCTAAAAAATTGGGTTCCCTTTTATAATTCACTATCATGTGCTCCTTGGTGTTCACATCAGGTCTCAGGATAATGATGTAGCATTTGGGGATAAAGATGAAGCCCATTAAGCCCAGACTGGAGGCCAGGATAGAGAAGATCTGCACAGCCACCATGTATTTTCCTTTGGTGCTCAGGTACGTGGGGACAAAGGAAACCCAAACACTGCAGAAAACCAACATGCTGAAGGTGATCAACTTGGCTTCGTTGAAGGTTCCTGGCAGTTTGCGTGCTAGGAAAGCCACCAAGAAGCAGATGGCAGCCAGAAGGCCCATGTAACCTAGTGCAGTGTAGAACATGATGATTGACCCTTCATTACATTGCAGCAGGATGTATTCTGGTTGAGAATGCATGTCAGAATCTGGGAATGGGGGAGAGATTCCCAGCCATATCATGCAGATACCCACCTGAATCCCAGAACAGGATACAACAATAGAGTTGGCCAGAGTCTTTCCTAACCATTTCCTCATCCTGCTGCCTGGCTTTGTGGCCAGAAATGCCACCACCACCATGACAGTCTTTGCCAGCAATGAAGAAACAGCAACTGAGAAAACAACACTGAAGATGCTTTGTCGAAGAAGGCAGGTCACTTTCTTGGGGGGCCCAATAAATAGAAGGGAAGTCAAGAAGGAAAGGAGAAGGGAAATGAGAAGAATGTAGGTGAGGTCCCGGTTGTTGGCTTTAACTATTGGAGTTTCTCTGTATTTAGTGAAGATTCCCAGAACAAAGGCAGTGATTAGGGACAAAGCAAGGGTAAAGGAAGCCAGGATGATTCCCAATGTTTCTTTATAGGACAAGAAGCTTATACTTTTAGGGATACATTCATCTCGCTTCTCATTGGAAAACTGGTCATCTGGACACTTGCTGCAATGGGATGCATCTGAAAAACATTTGCTATAGATAAGTATTTCTGCAATTGTAATCATAAAATAATGAGATTGGAACCAATACTTTCTACAATGCATAAAACATGTTTTTGAAAGTGATGGAGTAGGAGAGGATATTGGGAGAGCTGGAGAACTTAGAAAATACTTTCCAACTATACTTCGTGAAAGTCTAAGCTGGATCGTGAGAAAAAAAGTTCATGGGTGGATGAATTAACAATATGTAACAGGGAAGATGTTCTATGGAACAGGGAGCTGAATATGACCTGAAAGATGAAAATATAATGCACCATTATCTTTTGGATCCTATTAAAGGTTCTTGATTTCCTTTTTTTCTCCAGAGCCACCTACCTTCTTCCACTGAGAATGTTCCTTCCATACACAGAGAACAGTCATGGCAGCAAACAGGTGCTCCTTCTCTGATGAGCTTGGCATATCCTGGGTAACAATTTTCTGTACATCTAGAAGAAGGCACTGTCTAAAGAGAAAAATAAGCATTGAAATAACGGCACCACATGAGTTACAGTAGAAGGGTTTATTTCTAAGAAACTGAGTTCAGGAAAAGTTGAAGAAAACAAGGAGTACTGTATTGATATAACAGTTACTGATTGGCTCCCTCCTTTCCTTTCCTTTCTAACTGGGATAAACTGGAAAAGAAATTGTGGTATATGTGGGAATGCTATACATTGTATTTTTCACTGTATATATGATTGACTTTTTTCAACTGCCAACATTTCTCCCAACAGATTCCCTACTTGACACCTTTCTCTCATGTAATTTAGAGGGCTACTCCCACGAACTTTTGCCTTTACTGTTATTGAAAAGAAGATTGTTTGATGAATTATTAATTATGATATCATATTTCTGTATAATAATGTAGATGGTAAAGGTCTCAATGCATCTGATAATGTAACACGTTCCAGTTTGCGATACGATGCTGAAAAACATCTTAAAGATACATGATATCTAATGAATTAATGTGTTTTTTTGTGTTTCCCTTATTTGGAAGTTTTCTTAATTGTCCTGAATGAGAATTATTACTGAGCAAAAATAAATTGTATATATGCAGGTAACTAGAAGGGCTAAAGCAAATAAGGATCAGTCACCTTGTTAAATGATGTTGGCCATTGGATGACACTCTGATTGATGGAGACCTTGACTTCAGAGGAGGCTTCTCTTTCTACACTCCCAACTTTCACTGTAGGAAAAGACTTTTGGGGCAACATTTTCCAGTGCATGATATCAAAGTCAGCAGCAAGAATTCCATTTTCATCCAAATAAATGCCACTATTGGAAATGTTTTGAAGCTGGAAGCTTCTCATGAACTGATGAAGCTGCAAAGATAGAAAATTAGCCATGCACATATAAGTTCCCATTTGAACCTTTATTCAATGTTTTTCTGGCTATTATTCTGGATTGGAAATGCAATGAATAATTCACCCTTTTCAGCTGAGCATTTTGGTCTGAAGAGGATGATTCAGTATTTTCTCTTGCTCCTTCTCCTTGGAACACCAGCTATTTTTTCAGATATGCCTTTCATTTTACTGAAGGAATCACTAAAGTGATTTGCTAAACCATAGCCCAGCACAATAATTTTAAGAAAACTTAAAATTAAATAATGCAGAGTGTTTTAATAGTTATTGAACTTATTCTGATGCAGAATAAAAATACTTGAAATGCTTAGTTTGGAGGTTCTTATTATTTTCATAGATATATTTGTGTAACAAACTGTTCTTAACCAACTGTAAACAAACTAAATCCTGCAGAGGGATAGATCTATATTGTAGCTATCATTCAGAACCTGATCTGAGGATTGCTGGAGCATCCTGAAGCTTATTTAATTTGCAAATGGGGAGAAGTGCTTGGTCACCATGAGATACCTGTCATTACAGCATCCCAAACCAGTATAGGTAGTTTCAGTTTGGAAGAATTATCTTTATAATTTCTCTCACTCCCTTGCAAATACTATAAATTGAGCAATTGCTGTTTGGAATATCACATCCGTCCCTGTGTCCATTTTAATATGCAGGAAGAGAAAGGGGAGCATTAGTGGAACCTCAAAGGAGAAGTCTTACCTGCCATGGCTGTACAATCTGGGGTGACTGATGGTCTCCAACCAGCATCCTCCTCTTACTCATTTGAGATGAAGAGGCGGCATGGAGGACTGAGGCCACAGCATGGATTGCTCTTGAAATCCCGGAGACATCCTCAATTATCATTCTTGCAAGCTCATCATGGGGTGGTAATAGCCTGCTCTCTTTTTCTGTGCATCTTTCCCAAACCTTCTTAGACAACACAGGCTTTGAATAGGAACACTGGAATGCTTCCTTTACAATCTGTTTCTCAGCAGAGGAATATGAATTAAAGTTATAATATTGTCCACTGCTTTTCTGGGTGAGGAAGGAAAACAAAACATGTTTACGTTGGAGATCAAGTTTGTTGGAAAACATTCTTATGCTTATATGTGACAAAGTTGTTGCAATCCACACTTTCCCCTCAATGAATGTATTCTTCTTTTCATTAAAAATTATGATTGTTAGTAACATTGCTGTGGCATGAAAATCTAGTTGACAAACTATAATTTTTATGTGAATATTGATAAGGAGAAGGAACATTTTTCTTTGTTCTTGTACAAAAAAATCTCCAGTTTGTATATTTAGATTTGCCGCTGGGATAATTTCTGAGAGGACAATGCAAATCCGATTTTTTATAGCTAGAGTTTCCAAGCTTCTTTTAAAGTTTTCTCCTCTTTCATTGTCCTGAGAAAGGAGGCTGATCCATGTCCATTGGAAATGCAGGAGCAGCTTGACAATCGCTGAGTAGGGAGGTTCTTGTTTTGGGGTCATTTGGTAGAAAAATGGAAAATGATGACTTTGCTGAAGAATGTGGCTGATAGCACCATAGTTAACCTATGAGGGAAAAAAAGATTGGTAGTTTGTGGCATTTAACTTTTAATGTTAAATGTCAAATGTTCACATGTAAGCACCTTTCCTCACCTCATGAAATGTGATGGTTCCCTTGGTGTTCTCTATTGATTTATTTGCTCCCTTTGACCCTAGGAAGCTCTGAAGTAATCTGTAGTTGATCCTCAAGGGTGGTCCTCATGCAGCACACCCTTCTGGTCAAATTCTACCATGCAGGTAAGCCTGGATGATGAAGTGGATGCATTTAGGCACTTTTGCTGCCAACAACTGAAGCTCATATGAGCCCTACATAGTTTGTAGATTACTCAACTAGTAGATCAGACTGCACAAGTAATTCAGGTCAGATAGGCACATTGGAATAGCAAACTCTCCTGATTTAGCAGGGCCATTCTCACAAAAAAAAGTATCCAATTGTGAGCGATGGTTAAATCCAACATTCTAGTGTGAGTCTCTAACCATTCATTAATCTACAATATCTGGTTGCTTTGCATATCAGTAGGCATTTGAATAACTGAAGGTAGATATTATGCAGTCCACTGCTTTAGTATTTTCTAATTATACAAAGGACTGTGGGATCCTTGGTGGTCTGCTGAGTTGGAGCCATGGTGGCACAGTGGTTAGAATGCAATATTACAGGCTAATTCAGCTTATTGCCAGGAGTTCTATCCTCACTGGCTCAAAGTTGACTCAGCCTTCATCCTTCCGAGGTCAGTAAAATGAAGACCCAGATTGTTGGGGACAATATGTTAACTCTGTAAACTGCTTAGAGAATGCTGTAAAACACTGTGAAGTGGTATATAGTTTAAGTGCTATTGCTATTGCTTTCTTGCAGACATTTTATTACCCAACAAGGTAGTCAGCAGTCCTAGAAGGAAGTGGGGTTTGTTCTGTTCTTGGTAGTTTCTTGATTTTAATAACTTCACTCTGAAACACTCAAGATAATTGTAATTGTGGCAAGCTCCTGTTTGTAAAGGAGAATAAATTTATGGTGAGATACTTTGCACTGTTTTATGGAAGTTTGGAAGCATGTTGAAGCTACTGACTGGATGGACCTTTATGCTCTCCAAGCTTTTCTACAATCTTCCATGAACCCATTCACTTTTCCTTCATATCTTTCTCTTGCAATTTGAGTTTCAGACCCATTTTTTAAAAATGAGGAAGTTCATGATTATGAGAGTTATTGCTAGATCTAGCCTGCCTCCTGGATCTCCATCACTGGAGGTTTTGAAGGAAAATTCAGAAAGCCATTTGCAATGGTCTGGGGATTTTTGCTCTGGGTAGGGAATTAGATTAGAAGATCTTTACAGTATTTTTAAAGGTTTTCATTCTATATTTTTGTGAACAAGCTTACCTCTTTAGTACTGGTCACTAACTTTTCAATTTAAAACTAACTATTCAGCCCTCATATATTCCTGATTCACTTTTTAACTCATTTTAATATTAGTTAAAACAAAGTCAACTCACACTTTTATTTCCCAAAGTGGGCAGGTCCCACTGTTACATCCCGCTATTGTGGATTTTTCAACAAACACACAGTTATGCAACAGGCCATGTTATACTATTCCCTTACTGTACAGATTTGTGTACATTAACATCTCTCCTTCCTTTCTCTAACTTTATTTAGATAGTCTACCATGGGACCCAAGACAGTCTGTTTTGTTTGTTTGAAAAAAGACTTTCAGTGGCAGAAAAAGAGAAGTCACAAAGCCTAAGCATTGTTTCTGAGCCATGTTGTGACAGCGAGATAATAGAAATATGTATGTATTTTATGGAAAGAAAAATATTTTAGACCTTTTAATATCTAATCTCTGCCTCCAGGTTTATCTGGGTCTGCCTCCTAGGCTATTTTGAAGAACATCGGATTAAGCTCATTTTAGCTTCATACCTGTGGAATTTTGTAGATGCCCAAGATGGTAGAAATATGATCAAAGTGTTCAGAATCTGTCTCTTCAAAAACTGCCAGGAGATTTTTCTGTCTTCCACATCTATAATTTGGGACATTCTCCTGCCCTGTAGACAGCAAGTGCATGATGACCTCACATGTTATCCTTGCATTGAGGAAGTTATCATAGATATTGTAGCCCAGGGTGATGTTGGGTAAGAGCCTAGGATTCTGGTTGATCTTATGAACAGCCAAGAAGAAGACCAAGAGGTCACGGAATATTGTTGACTCACTGCAAAATAACATCTATAGAATTACTCTGGGTGGGTCAGAAATATTGCTAAAACATGGCTAAAACATATTCCTTACTCTGGGAGCCAGGCCAGACATTCTCACAGTTCCACCCATCCTAGTCCAAACCTTGAGGAAAGAATGAAGTCTTTGTACCCCTCCAGAATTCTCAAAGGAGTGTTTTACCATATGTGCATATGATGTTCTCATAATATTGCATTATTTCTTCAAATTATATCACCTAGAAAATTGTATAACTCACTGTCCAATATTCAACAAAACCTCTTTAGAGCCAGAGATTGTTTTGCTGCAGAATATTTATGTGTTTGGAGTTCCTGCCCTTTATTCCAAAATCTTTAATGTGATCCCCTGTAGCTAAAATAATAGTTTATAATGTAACGTCTCTATCCTCTTTGATTTTTTTAAAAAAGCTATTCTTATTTAAAACAAAAGTAAAACAGAAGACACAAAAGTTTGTAAAGCAGGTAAAAGGCATCAATTGGAAAGAAATTTTGGAAAGGAAGAAAGGAAGGACAGAGAGCAAGGTAGGAAAG